ATAATTAAATAATTAATAATGCAAAGGTAAAATGTGTGAATGCTGAACAATCTAAGCTTTGTAATTTTAATATGCAATTCTTTTTTCTTATAAAATTATTGAAACATTTTGTTATATTGTTATTATTATACTTTTAAAATTTTGAACACAATGGATTTTGTTAGTTTTATTTTATTTTTCTTTATTGTAAATACATCAACATTAACCTTATTTCAAGATAAACTTTTCGTAGCTAAGGCCGATTGACTTCAAAGTTGTATATGCTAAGTGAAATAAATAAATAAATAATGAATCATTTAAAACACATGGCTGATCTAGATATAAATATAATAAGTAACAGAAGCTAAGAGTTGCGTTTTTCTCATCCAAAAGAATGGCCCAACTCCAGATCTAGATCGAGAGAGGCCATCCATCTGCGGCGTGGCACTTTCTAAGGCGATCTGCGGATGCCTGGATGAACCTGATATGCCCGCTTATGACATTAAATCCGTTACAAACTCGTGAACCGCCTGACTGGGGACTCTCTGCGAGTCGAAGAAAAGTCGGCAACCTGGCCAGAGTTCGTGACGTGGCATCAACAGTTTGTCATTAAACATTTCGACAATAATTTGCTTTGTGCTCGCATTTATATATAAGTACTTCTCCTTTGATTCGACTTCCCGAATTGTAACAGTAGACGACGACCTGGACTTGGAGTCGCAGTCTGAAATTGTTATGGCAGGTAATTTACATAAAAGATAAGTGGGTCCATGCAGCACACTGCACAATTATTATGGGACCTGTCTATTGTGCGGATAGTTTGGGGAGACCCGTACTCAGACTCAGACTCGGACTCAAACTGAAAGCCCCAACCACGATCTTTCCCTCCCCCTTTGTTATTGTAAACAGATATGTGCGCTGGCTTTGTGTTGATATTTGGTTTTTATTTTGTTTTTAGGTCGGGACTGTTGCCAGTGACTTCCTAAAGGCATTAAAGGTATCAAGACTTGTCGCTGCCCGCCTTGTTATGCAAATCCCGCTCAGGTTGCGTATACGACGTGTGTAGCCATAAGGCGGTGGGCAAATGTGTGAACCCAGAGTCTAGAACCCCCAAAGTCCCCGCGACTTTGTCTATTCGCCATAGACAATAACCCGGCAGCCCTGACCCGCTTAGTTAGCGTTATCGACATCGTCGCTCCTTCGCTCGTTCTTCGTAGTCCGCCAATAAAACAAATTAAAGTCAACAATTGACGGCGGTTTAGGACCTGAAGCTACTCGCCTTGAAAAGCCGCAGCCACAATGGATTTCTGCCCGATACCGCTCTCGCCTGACTCCAAAAAGCCCCGACTTGCCACCTTATCAGCCACCCGAAATCGATGGCGCGACCATTTGGCAATAGGCAATAATATTTTCGTACTTAGTAACTGCAATTGTTTTGCCGCAGTTGCACTTTTCCACCGCATTTACAGCATTTTCCGTTGCATTTGCATTCTGCGTTCGCCTGCCTGACAGTGAATAATTTGCCATTTGCCTTCGATTCTGCGTTCCGTTTGCCGCGCTTAATTCGGCCTAATGACTTGGAAAAGCGCAAAGTTGAGCCCTTGGCGGCAGCACAGGCCAAACAAAGCCGAAAGGAGTTGGGGCCAACAAATCCCCTAATGAGGGAATGGGAAAACATAACTGATTTATCAAGGAAATTGCATAACATGAAGGGGATTTACGAAAAACGGAAAATTTCCACCATTAGTTAATAAAGTTCATTAAATAAACTTAATGCCAATATTTTATAAAACTGGATAAAGCCAAAAAAAGTCAATTGCCAACAAGAAAACAATGCTTTAACACCTTGCAGCTATAACCAGATATATTTTCTAAAGATGGATGTTGCTTTAATTCACTCGTTTCAAGTCACCTTCATCTGGGTCATCACACCGCTTACTCCACTTTTGATTCGTTGGTGTCTTTTATACTACACGGTGTTTCCCAGAAATTGTTTGGCAATGCAGAACATTTACTTTATATAAGTCTTATCACCTGAGCATTTCAGACAGATTTCAAAGAATTTTGATTTGCATTCCCGCGGTTGTTTTAATGAACTCGAGTCATGGTTTTTGGGATAAGGTCAGAGCTGATGGTGGATCACGGATTCCAGACCACGTAGCCCTCGATGGATGCAGTTTTCCCCGAAGCTGAAGAAGAATTTTGGACAGCTGCTCTGGATGATGATTTCATCAGCCGAAAACATGCAAATGGATCGCATGCATAGTAAGCGGCAGTTGAAAATTGAAAGCGACTATCGATGCGGTTGAAATAATGCAAATTGAGTCGATCCGTAGATCATGCCATACGAGAAGAGTCATTGCCTTGCAAAACTATTGCAGTGCACACTTTTTTGTGTGCCCAACCTAATCCCCTAAATCTCGACTACGAGTGCAATGCTTTAGGGTTTGTAACTGAAACTCCAAGCCGCGATCAGTATTTTTGATTAAAAAAACAATATTTATTAAGAATATAAAAAAAAACAGTACCTTGAAAAAAAGATATTTTGTTAATGATATTTAAAAAAATTAAATAGATCCATTGAAATCTTAACAAACAAAAAATACTTCAAAATAATAAAAAAAATTTTTTTTGAAATATTTTAAGAAAATTAAATATCATAACAAAAGTAGTCATAAAATTTAAAGAGCTTAAATTTAACAATGTTAAATTTTAAATTTGTGTTGCTTTTACTAGAATATATATGTATTTTTGTTATGAAATATTGCTCAGTTATTATAAACCTAAAAATTCGCTGTATGCTGTAGTACCCTTGAACTTGCTGTGAACTTCTAGGGGCTGTAGCCTAATTTAAAAACATCTATTGCGGTATTTTAAAATCAAGTCGCGTATAAATGCATTGGTTTGCCTGCAGACTTGCCCCAGTCCCACTAGAAAATGTGTGTCATATATGCATGAGATTTTTGGCGCCTGATTTCAGAAATAAAAAAGCCAACTGGCACTCCAACGAAATGCTAATCCTCTAATACATAGAGCTCGCAAAAGGTGACATAAAGTCGGGAAAAACTCCTAAAATACACCTCGACTCAATATGAACTTGACATTGACATGTGCCAATGTTTCGCTACACTTTTGTGGCTTTATATTAAAGTTATTCTTGAGGTGTTACATTTATATTTTTATTCGATTTTTATAAAGCTTATAATAAACCTATTTTAATAAAATCATTGCTCTAAAACCATCACAATTAAAGCTTAATATTCGTTGCAGGTACGTGTCATGATTATTCTTTTGAATGTTTTTCCCAGTGCATCTCAACCATGTCTTTTTAAATCTCTGGCAAATGGCTCGCGTTTAGCGCCATGCGGGCGCAGCATGCGAAATGATCCTCCATTTGGCTTGATTTCTCGCATTGAGGTGTTTTGTTGGCCAACGCCAAACATGTGCTGGCCATATGCCCCGTTGCGGTCCTATTTTCAATACCAATCTCAAGCCTGTCCAGGCGAAGGTGTGAACTGTTTGAGGACTTGGTACGGTGCCTTATCTACAGAGGAAAAAAATATTTAGTTATCTGCTTTTATTAATTATATTTTACTTTCTTAGGGTTAATAATTTAGTATTATCAATTGAAAACATTTAATTTATATGATTTAGGTAATCTAGAAATGTATTAGCTGATCATTAACTGATCATTGACTCAAACATAAAATTATATTTATTGTAATCATAAAAAAACAATCTTAAATTTTAATTCAATATTTATAATTTTAAGTCATTTTGTATCTCCTCTTTTCCAAGTAACGACCAAAGTGGTTTTCCAAATTTGTTGATACTTTGTTCTCTGTGTACGAATGATAGCTGTCCAAAGGACACTGTTCCAACGAAATGGCAAATGCAGTTCCCAATCACCTCGGTCCTACCTTCGACTTCGCTGGGCTCTCCGCTTTCCCATGAGGGAGTTCTCCTGGCCCTCTCACACATGGCGAAACTCCAACTGCGGCGATGGGAAAACAAACAGGACTGGCCACACATGTGTGATTGGAACGGACCGGAGCACGTACTATGCGTAGGTGCGAGTCCTTGGATTCCCAGCGCAGTTCCCACACATCCTGGTCCGGGCCACATGATGATGCTGCTGTGCTTTTCCCGTAGCGCCAGGCGTGTCCAAAGGTTTTGTTCCGGGATTCCTCAAGGCAAGAAATCTCGCACACATTACAAGGAGTCGGCGCTCGCGAAAAAAAAAACACACGAGCTAAAGTTACATATGTTGTTTGACCATCTATTCAAGAAATTTCCATGTCGGCCGAAAAGGGATTCCCTCGCAGGCGGCGTTTTCCCACGATTTTATAACTGGGCTCGACTTTCAATACCCACCATTGCCATTTCTCCATGTGTGTGCCGCTGGGAAATCGTCCTCGCCCTTGGTTTTTTGCCTTGCGGAGGGAAAAACTCTGATTCGAGAACGCTCGAGATTTTCCAGCCGAGAGCGGCACATGTGGCCGGTAGCCAGTGCCACTCAGTATCGCCTAATGGCCAGAACACCGCGGTCATTTCGAGTGGACAGGTTGTGAAGAGGCCACACCCCCTAACCTGACACTTGACTTTATGCGCCGGCGCAGCAGCGGCAGGTAGTCACACCTCGAACAGGTAAACATTTGCCAATATCCTACGCTGACCTATGACCTGTGACGCGTGTCAGGTGGTTTTGTCGTGGATTTGGACAAGTGCGAGGCACCCTACCTACTACCTGTTGAGGCAATCTCAAATAAAAGAACACCTCAAACCGTGTCAAATGGGAAACGAAAAGATTGGCCAATTAAAAATGATCCCTTTTTCTTTCAGAATCAATAATAAGGTGATTATAGGCGATTTCTCAATTGATGTGAGACCTTATTTTTGAAATGTATTAATTAAAAAGCAAGTCTTTTCTTTAACATTATGAAACCCAATATAATAGAATTAAAATAGATTCACCAATATTGAATTTTGGAAATGATTTAAACTACTTTTTAAACAATAACTGAAATTTTGATGTTAATTTATTAAAATTTCATAATTAAATTTTCTTTTTATATTTTCAGTAGCCGGTGTGAAAGCGGTAAATAGATGGATACTTCACACTTTTTTTTTTGCCAAGCCCTGGCCTTTGAAATCTAGTGGATTTCTAGTTGCTTTGGTGTAAATCGAAGAACAATAACGTAAATTTAGCTACTGACGTTGGCCTGCTGGGCGCCGGAGAATCCAAAGCCCGGCGAAGAGTCCAAGTCGCCGAATCCTCCTGTCGCCTCTGGAATAGTCGGCGGTGCAGGGTTCCGGAACTGATCCGCCGAGATGCGGGTGAACAGGATGCCCACGCCCTCGATCATGGAGAGCAGGACGCCTCCGATGATGGCACTTCCTGCCATGGCGGCCAATCCATTGCGGGAGGCCAAAACTCCGCCGGTCACAGCTCCACTTACGATCGAGTTCCAGGGATCCTCCTTCTTGCGCAGATGCACCAGGCTGCAATCCACGATGCTAAAAACTGCGCCCCAGGCCGCGAAACTGCCGGCAATCACCGGCGATTTGGTCTTGATGGCAGCCACACTCCCGGCGACCCTTCGACCAATCCCCTGCGGCGCATTCCGGAATCCCTTGAGTCCCTGGAAGACCCCGCCTCCGACGCAGCCCATGGCAAAGGCTCCTCCGCAATCGTCGACGATGCGATGGGGACACGGTTCCCGTGAGTACTCCTCCATCCTCACACTCTCCGCCCGCAGGATCTCTTTTCCTTCTGGCCGAAACTAAAAACTGAGAAACGGAATTTATTAAATTTTTTTGGCTTCCGTTTGTGCTTGCTCTACAATTGAGTTTTCTGAGGCTTTGTTTGACCAAAAATGTGTACGGAAAATATTCGGAAGGTCTGTCAATCTGGGTGTACGATGTGATTCTTCCAACGAAGGTTGCTTTAGGTTTGAATAATAACTTGAACAAAAGAAATTGATTGTAGTTCTAAATCGATGAACGATTATTATTTATTTAATAAACGACCAAGCTTGATAAGGGGTTTAAAATTATTTTAACATCAGCAATCGATTGTAGTTTTAATTCGATGAACGATTTTTATTTATTTAAAAGCATCAGAAGGAATGCAAATAATAATAAAACATCATCTTGTTTATACTATTACTAAAGCAAAGTATAAAATGAAGATAATGCATAAGTATTTTTTATATCATTAAATATGATGTTAGTTTTCTTTAAGAATTGTTTGCTGATATAACTAAAGGGAATTGAATGCCCCAATCTTCCAAAATGCGAACCCTCATACCAAATTACAGGTTGTACCTTGTGCCCCCCTAAACGAAGCCTATTAGCATACATAACCAGAGCCAGAGCAAATAGAGTCGCACGTGGATCGGGGATCTCTGCCCCGAAGTTCGCTGGGACAAAAAGGTTAAATAGCACAAATGTCGGACCGTAGTTAACCATAAAATTTACTGCCGCAGCTGGACGACTTTGGATCGAGGATGGGGAGTGGACGGTGGGATTGGGATGGGAATGGGAATGGGGGCCTTTCCAAAGACGCAATTCGTACAAAAGGCAGACGGTGGGAAACGGAAACAATGAGACCGATTGTCGTCGACCGATAATACCATGCCCAGCCAAAGCAGAACCAGACCGAACCAATACCATTTTATACCATTTCCAGAAAGGGAAGCTTACGATTGCATGCATAATTATCACGCGAGCATAATCGAAATTTTGAAACCGCCGCAACTGTGTTTGCTTAGTTCGAAAAGGGGGAAGTCTTCGGACCCTCGATGAGTATCTCCGCATAACAAGGTGTCAGACAGCAGTGACAAATGAAAGTGAAACCCCGATCGAAACCAAAATCGAATCGATGGGCAGACATATACGAGTATATATAAAGTAGATGAGGGGGGACACGTGGACACACACGAAGCGCCAGTCTTTTGTGGCAGGACAACTCTCGTCAACTTGACATGTAAATCGTTAGAACGTGTTGCACTCGATTGATTGCTCTCACTCCCGAGAACTTTATCTGCGATCATTTGTCAGGAAATGGCCGCAGGATAAGGCCTTCTATAATTTGTAATTGTAAATACTGGGTACATTGTTCGCCACTGCTGCGGGATTTCCAGTGAAATCTTCATTTCCACGTTAATTGTTGTCGCTTATAAATGATTGGATTCGGATTAGATTGATTTGGTGTTAATGTGGGCACATTATGCGTGTTTTACCCTTAAAGGATTGGCCATGTCTGCGCAGGACGCGAACTGGTCAGGGGTTTCCCACGAATTCGGGAGTTTCTAGTCGGATAATATTTTCCAGGAAATCTCTATAAAGAAAAGGAATCGTGGGAGGGAGTCATTCAAACTGGATTGCCTTCGTGGCTTATCTAATGAAATTATATTTCAACTGATTTGCTACAAAACTATTATTGCAAGTAATAGCAGTAAGTCTTAAATGCTATTATTACAATTTGGATTAATAAAAATATTCATATTTTTATTAAAATCTCTAAATACAGTTTCAAAAGACTTGACCATAAAAATAAATATTTAGTACCTTACTATTGCTATGTATTCCCATTTTAAGCTAGCAATAAATATTAAATAAACAGTAAAATCCAGGTGATTACCATATCGGGCAGAAGAACGCCAGGAATACAATTCTCCAATAATTATTCCACCGATCTCTGAAACGGTTCCGCTTTCCATCTTCCGATCTTCAATTGCTCCGTTAGGAAGGCAGTGTTTGGGCAGCTGTGATGCAACATATTATTCCTTTTGGAATATGCATCTGCATAACCGATGACAAAGGGAATCGAGAACGGAACTCATTTGCCAGACTCAAGGAGAATCCCTGCACATGCCAAAACGCCAGCGAGAACAATGCGGCGAAACAATTGCGGTTGCATTACCCCTGAAGTCCAATTCAAATTCCGACAGCCTTCAGCCGGGCAATGAAATCCAAAATTCAAAATCAAAGGGCAGGCCAGGAGTCGACAAAGGATGTGGCTCAGGTAGGATCCGGGGCATGCCGCCAAAAAAAATGCTGAAAAATCTCGAACGGTGCACTATTGTTGTGTCCTGTGCCCCGACTGTGATTACTCGTACTCCGATGACGATCATAAATGTGGCTCTCCAGTGCACTTAGAGAAATGGATGGTTACTTTAAGAATATAATTAGAAAGAAGAAGAAATTGGTGTAATGCATTTTAAGACCCTTGCAAAAAGCGAAATATAATAAAAGATATATGCTTAGAAACTATAATTATATTTAATTTTTTTTATTTTTTATTTATTTTTTGAAAATGAACTCTGCTTGACTACAAAGTAAAACAAAGCTATTTGATAGCTTATGCACTATGATATGATATGTTGCATCGATCTTATTGAAAAGAAAATAACAGTGTAAGCGATTAGAGGTATTTTGCAATTATTCCTATATTTTTTCAGGTGTACTCGATAAATTCCCCTCCTCGCCACTCGCCATTGTGCGCCCGCAGATGCAAGTCAACGTCCGAATCGGGTCTCGATTTTTTGGGCTGAGGGCAAACAGATGCACTTCTTGCCAAAATTGAAAGCTGACAACTGAAAACAGAAAATCAGAAAACCCAAGCCAAAGGCCCAAGACGAAGACGCGCCAAAGGAGAAGAATTCAGCTCGGCGGGCTGCAGCTGTCAATGCCAAGCCACCAACGCGCCACCCTCGAGTTGACATTATTTCCAGCACCGATTTGTGATTCCTGATTCCCAAATGCTCCTGCCTGCCTGCAGACGCAGATGCGATGTCCTTTGGGTTTCCTTGGCCGCATTGTTGTTGGCCGTTCACCCGTCCGCCCGGTGCAATGATTTTTTCCTTAACGGCTCCTTGACTGCTTTACGTTTGTGTGTGGGTTTTTTTTGCGGACTCTGTCCAAAGAGCGTCCTTCTTGGCTCTGAGGTCCTGCCAAAAGGTGTTGGAAATCCTGTTAATAGGGGAGTTTCTTCGGCCTGACCTCGCATAACTTGGTGTGTGGCTAAAGAGAGGGGGGAATATGTCCAATATATCAAGGATTAAAGAGGATATTAGAGGGACTTCCTAGAGGAAATGGGGTTTTAAGGCAGGGTTATTTTAGATCGAGAAAGTAAATTAAATAATTAAGTAATTTGTAAGGCATTAAAAAATATGGTATTTCATTTTATTTTAAAAAATTATTTTCATATATTAATATTTACACCAGTCAAGAACATTTTAGTAACCAAATTTGTATGTTGCGAAATAAACCAATATTCAACTAGAGTTTTTAATTAATAGTGGTTTTAAATGAATCTTTATAAATTTTAAAGACCTTATATAGGCTAGCGCTTTTTCGGAAGCGTTTCCTAACGGAAACCATTATCCTTACTAAATAAAAACCTTCAACCCCTGATAAACATTTCCCGCACAAAAACCTCTCCCTTTTTTATGTAGTCCATAATCACCGCAACAGAATTAAATAATATTTACACACTTCATTTGGGAGACACGTGTAATAGGCTAAACAGAGTGTTTAGTGTGGCCAACAAGCAGGACACACGCGATGTCCCCTAATCAGCTTAGTCGCAACAGGATAATGGAAAGTTGGGGGCAACGATGATGACAGGACGGGACTCTTAATGCCGGCACTACTGCATTGACAGGATAACGAACCGTGAATAGGCGCGAAACCTGCGCAGGACCTTAGAGCAAATCGAAGGGGAATCGGGCTGGAAGTCAAGGCAGCTGCCACAAGTGCAGGACGGGCGACAATAGAGCCAAGTTTTGGGGTCTGTCTGGATTTTTAGACTCGGGGTCGGGGGTCATTCACAATTCGGACCGAACAATGGGCCACAGGTAGCGATGGAACCCGCACATAATCGCCGACAGATACGGCCAGGTGATCCAACTTTTTGATTTCTTCTGGCTAAAGGACATTGATACGCCGGCTTCGTCGGTGGATTCCGGGAAGCAATTCCTTTCGCTGGCTTTTCAAAACATTTACTCCACTGTTCGGCCATTGTGTCGCGAACCTATTGATTGTGCAATGCACCCGGTCCACAACATACAGCCCGTGGCAGTGATTTTCCCTGCTTCTCCGATCTTCGATTTATGGATCGCAGCTCCTTTGTTTCGTGCCAAAAAAAAAAAAACGAGAAGAGAATCAGGAACAGCAACAACAACAACAGGGGAGCTGCAGGCGTCCCTTATAGTAATCAACAATTCATTGTCAACGAGATCACACATCGTATATCTTGGGCCATAGTTTGTTTTCCTTGGTGGTATCCTTAATGTTCGTTCCTTTCTTTTACCTTCTCCTCTTCGTGTCTATTTTTTTTGCAAAAGGTGCTCCGGGCCAGGTGAGCTGGAGATACTGTTAGGCTATGATGGAACTATTGGACCATGAACGAGTGGGGGTTCGAGTTGGGAAAACTCGGACTTGAAGGCTGGAAAAACAGTTAGAGGATGCGGATCCTCGGGGCGAAGTTCAAAAGAGAGATCTGAGATCTGACAAAATAGATCATATTTAGCATTTCTTTCAAAGAATCTCTATTAGATTTTTCAACATTGTATTTTAAATAACATTAAACTATTTTTCAGATAGTAATACAAATACTTAGTAAATTAAATTCGCTTACTTAAAATAAGTTGGATACGAAGTTATTACTTTGATTTTGTACATACTTTTCATTATGAAAAAATGCATAAAATTTTAAAGTTGGAAATAAAAATATGCAATACAAAATATTTGTAAAAATAGGTAATTAAATGTATTCTCATTTATTTAGTATAGTATAGTATAGTATAGTATAGTATAGTATTCACTATAAAGCATTTTCCAAACTTCCTTCTACATTTTATTTTCTCCATCATTCCTCCATTATCCCTTCTTGTGATTTCTTCCCCTTCTTGTCGACCCAATTCTTTTTGCAATTCGA